CCCCAGGAAATATAGCTCCTGCAGTATGCTAGTCAAAGTATTACTCATGTACTCTAGACTCTTCCATACCTGTGTTTTCCATTTGGAACTGATTCATGCATCATAAAAAGGGAAGAAGTTTGGTGAATATCATTTTATTTATAGAAAATGATAAGATTACATCCAAGTGAATTTTACAGCTACTCATTAACAATTTCATGAAGACACAAGTGATGTGTGTTTGGGGACAGGATTGACCATGGAACACAGGAGATGCAAATCATAACTGTAAATCAGTGGTTCACTGGTAGCTGACTAGGTCAATAGCTGTCAGAAATAATCAAATGGCTGTTTGGAATCTATCTGGAGTTGGTAATCTCATTCCAATTCTTAACAGGCAGGTGTGTCTGCCTCACAACCGGTAATTCTGCTGAGAGAATCACTGTTGGTGTACAACACTGAATGGATCATGAAGATTTGGCTACCCATTCAAAACCAGGCACAATATGGGGTTGAGAAGAGTATCTGAGGTCCAACTGAACCAGGAAAATAGTGGCTGGGGCTAAACTGCTGCAGTGAAGAGAGGTACAATCTGCAGCAAAAGTCCAGCTACGTGGAAGGAAGAAGCTGGTACTATGTAGAGGTGGCAGTCATGCTAGGTCACTAGGGGCAGCAGGAGGGATGAAGGGAAGGGTGTCATTGGGAGATTAAAGGAGCCAACAGCAGGGAAATTATGCAAATATTTCCATGTTACATTGGGTGCCAAAGCTAAGGGACAGCAGAGGATGGTAGAGAAATGAGATGCCCAGGCCAAAGAATCTAGCCACTTGGACTAGGGGGCAAGACTGTCATCCATTAAAGTCTCTTCACACCAAGTAAACCCACCAAATTGGCATACAGGGAGCCTAAAAATGACATCCTACAGAAACAGAATTCCCCCAGTGCAGGGACTGAGGAAGACACCATAAGGTTATCTTCCAAGGATCTCTTTGCAATCCCAGTATAGGGAATTACAGTGGTGTACGAACAGCTAGGGAAAGGCTGCCCTGAAGTGGTAGGTGCAAAGGTGGCTTAAAGACCCCTTAGATTTCCCATCTCTTCCAAGGTACAGCACAGAATTTCAACCAGCATCTCCAGCACACCTACATCTGGGGGGAGAAGAGAAATGAAGAGACTCCCAATATAGCTAGATTAAAAATCTCATCCAGAAAAAGCTCTAGCAGTAAGCCAACAACTTTGACAAAGGCACTGAAGTGAGGATTTGGTACACCTCATCTAATAAGGAGACTGGAACAAAAAAATTGGCGCCAGGATTCCTATGATTAATATAGGATGTCTATGGGACTTGTCCTGGTGGTAGTCTCAAAATAAACACTTGGAACTTGTGTGTACGTGTGTAGCTTCAAGTATTATGTAAACAGATGTTGTAGATGTGATGTTTAAAATATTAAGCATTTTAAATATCTTTACTTACACTGTTTTCTTCCACAAAGGAAATTTACCATTGCTGTATGAACATTAATGAAAAAAGTAGCCTAATTTTTGCCACTCACAGTTTTGTACATCATCATCAGGGGACTCTAACTACTGGCACATTTTGTCCTACTTGTGCCTCAATTTTCCTATACTATTAATTGTTTTCTTTGTAACCTAATTGTAACAAGCCCAAGAGAGAGAGTCTAGAAGTCAGTTATATAATTAAGGTCAACAGATATCTATTTTGGTGAAATAAATACTTCAGTGACATACTCAAAACTTTTCCACAGCTATACATTTGCAGTCAAATGCCACCTGAAAAATGAAATAAGCCACTTCTAAGCTGGTTATAAAGTAGGACTTGAAAAACTGCCCTCCACAGTGAACAGGAATCTTTCCTAAGAAAATGTCATCAAGTTTGCAAAATTTAAGCTTTCATTAAAAACAAAACAAAGCAAAAAACACACTTACGGGGAACTAACTCTTATGATTGCAAAGATAACCTTCGTAATGTAAACGGTGTTAAACAATGCAGTGATGTCTCTTTAGAATTAAGATGACATTGCCACAGCAAAGAGTTCTGGCTGATGCTACTGGTAGATTGGGGCTACTATTGCTTTGGACGACCCTGTTGGGTGGGGAGGCTTTTGTTAGGAACATAGTACCCCAAGGATAGCTGCCACTCACAGAGGGCACTGTATTAGGCTACCCCCCCACTACCAAGGGACTCTGCCAAGTTAGTAGGTCCTCACCCCAATAAACAAAAAGAGCCTTCTGCCTGGGTTGCAGGAGGACCAGCACAAACTCGAGAGCCCTCTTCTGACATGGTAGGTAAGGGCCTCTTGATTCCTTAGGCAGCAGCTCCATTTCTGTGATGGGCTGAGGTCAGTCTAGTTCAGGACATGGGAACATCAGCGCCAAGTGTGGCTAACAGCATACATTTTATTTAAGGGGGTACCCAGCATTAACTGATCCAACAAGGGTATTTGGCACCATTAACTTGGTGGCAGAGAATTCAGCCAGGAGAGATGAAGCAAAGGAGGCACCCAACCAACAGGAGGGAGCACTGCTTTGGGTACTGGTGTATTTTGGCACAGTCAGGGCTTCATCCTCAGACTAGCAGGTGTCAAGTAAGTTTTTCAAGTCCTGATTATAAGCTCATGTAAATTTAAGACAACCAGTAGAAAGCCATGAAATCCCCAATATTGGGAAACCTAAGGTAGGATGTCCCTTACCCCCAAACTCCTTCCACCAGAGCTTCTGAAAGTGTGTGTGGAGGGGAGTGGACCGGGGTGGGGGAACAGTCTTTTGGCTAAAACATAAGATTGAGGATAATAAAATTTGGGCTCTATGCCCAGTTCTTCCACAGAATTCCTATATATCCTTGGGTCTGTTTAAAAGCATCTCGCAGTCTGGACCTGGCCTGCAGGTTGCCTATTGACTACTCTGGCATTAAACTATGACCTTACAGGAACTATTATTTAGTTTATTGATATTAAACCTCTGCCTCTTCAAGGCCCTACATGTTTGGTCAGTGCTTCAGAGGTCCACCTAGGTCCTAGGGAAGCAGAATGAAGACCACAAAAGAATTCCTTGGTAAGTATATCCACTGGAAACACTGGAAAAGATAGTATAGTAGCTGCTGAGATTCTGTATGTAGATGTAAGAGCTGCAGCCACTGTGACTATGAACAGAAGTTGAGCAGCCCCTCCTAACTTCACTTCAGAGGTCCCTGACAAGACACCATGTGACCCCCAATATTAATTCTTAGCTAAAACTGATGATTGGGCAGAAAGATCTCCCTCCCCAAAGAATTGACAAGGCAGAAGCAATGAAAGCGTGCACAAGAAGAAAAGACCACCTTTTAATCAGACTCCAGATATTTGGAGGTTCAACAATCGAGCCCCATTGGTCTGAGGCAGTTAATTCCACAGGAACAGTGGTGAGAGTCTGAAGTGACCACATAGCTAGAGTTACGGAAAAGAAAATTTAAAGTATATTTGGGCAATATATACTTTTTTTTTTTTTTTTTTTATCTTTTTTTTTTATCACAGGTTCTCCCCACCCCTCCTTTTCGAGCTTCCATGGCATGCTCTTCCCACCCCAAACTAAGCCTCCTGCCTTGGTTTCAGAAGCAGGAGTAGCTCAGCAGGATGCAATTGTATATTGAACATGGCATTGAAAAATTGTTGCCTATATTATTTGCACAAATATGTTAGCGTAGGGCTTCTTGCAAATAGTGGGCCAATGGCTTACCCCCCACTCCCAGAGTAGAATCTTTTGGTGCATTTTAATCTTTAGTCCCCTCACAAGAACACATCAAGAATCCTCTCCCTGCCAGTTAAGGTCCAATTTTTGACCCTGACAGTGTCACTTTATGCAGAAGGGACATTTAAATGAATAAAAGGTAGGAAAATTGTTAGACAACATTATTTTAAAAGGTATATAAAATTGCTGGGTCTGTAGACAGGAGGCATCTGCTTTAACAGCCTTAGTTTCTGCCATGTTTTTGAAGCAGAGCACCAATGAAGGTTCAGAAGAGTCTCCTTATGGAGACCAATACTTAATAAAAAGTTTACATACTTAAGAAGCCATATATATAATATCTTTGCTTGCTCTCTTTCTTGCATTTTCTCCCTTATCTCCCCACTCCCTGCTGAAAGCAAGTGAGCCACAGTTATACAACATTGCATTCAGCATTGCATTCTGTGACAATCCATTGCTTCCAGCGACATTTAGTGGATAGGTTTTTCAGCTTCATTCACATGAGATGTCAAGAACGGGACCTATGTTTAACTTTAGATAATGTGGTGTGGCCAGCCAGCATTGATGGCACCAAATTTACCACATCTAAAAAACACATTAACATGGTTTGTCCCTTTTCAGTGTTTTAAACTAGTTTAGCTATAACCATGCTTAAACATGGCTCACCAAACTATTCAGGGGCTACAAAGCATAGCCATAAATCATTTGTTCAACACACCATACCCAACATATTAGTTCTAATTATCTCTGGAGGATGCTATAACTAGTTCTCCCAACCAGGATCACTAGTGTGGCCCTCCAGGATTCCCACTGCAAAACAAAGCTCAATGAACACCACACATAGTTCAAGTGCAGGAGAATAGCCAAGCCAACCAGATTATTATTTCCTTTGCCACTGACAGAGGTGATGGATCCACATGTTTCCAGGGCAGGGTGTGCCCATCCCATTATTCTTACAAACACAACCTAGTAAACAATTCATATTATAGAAAAAGAAAAGAATCTGAATTAGGTACATCTTTTATATGTACTCTAGTCCCTTTCTAAAGGGAAGTGGTATGGATGAAGCAATTCTTTTTGTAGAGCTGTTATGGTATGAAGAAAGACCTTGTTCTCCCAGTTACTTGAGTTAGAGAGTCAGGCGAAGCCCAATCTACTCAAGACAACCACTCAAATGAATTACATAATCAGGTTGCCAACATTTCAACTAAGTTGTGCTCTTATTTTATTAAATTAACTACTGAAAATGTTAGAAACATAGAACTTGATAAAAATCTTACCTCTAGTGCCAAGGCAGTCTTGTCATAAGCACATGGTACTCTTTTTTGAATAGCTTTGGCATAGACCGGTCCATTCTGTGTTGATGGCAGAGGGTTGATCACTGCTCCAGGTGTACTGGATACAGAGGGAAGGGGACTCGTGGTCTGAGGTTGAGCATAAGCGTGGGCAGGTTCTGGAATACCATAGCTGTTGGAATTCCTGTTCCCATGTTTCCCATGAGGGGATGATCTCACCAGCTTCTCTACATAAGGAACAGGGATCATCCCAACACGACCATCTTTGTTTCTGGCACTCCACCACTGGTCTTCAGGCTTCTCTACAATTACAAGTATCTCACCCTTTTTAAATGGCAGATCTTCAGCATCATTCCCAAGAAAGTCATAGAGAGTCCGAACATATTCCAGATTTTCTTCTGCAGTGGGAATGGTAGGGGCTGATCCAGATCCCATTGGTGGACTTGGATACCTGAGTATTTAAATAATAAAACTTTTAATAGTAGATATTTACCTTATTCTGTATACTGGGTAACAAAATTTACTCTAATGTTAATGAATAGTCTATTGTTAAAAAGTGATAAAGAGATACTAAGAAATTCAGCTGTTACTAGATTACCAGTTTGATAGCACTTTGAAGCATTTAGTACGACTAGTGCTTACTTGAAGTCTCTAACTAAACAATGAGCTAAAAGCTATATACTGTGTAGTCTCTCAAGAACTCATTTTAAAAAGTCAAATTTTTCATGGAGGCTGGAGAAAAATGGATGAAGGATGTATGTTTTATCTTACTGATTCAATACAGCAAGGTACTTTATTATTTTAATTAACTTAGCACCTGGAAGTCCTAGACATTGTGCTACACACTATACAAACACAGCACAAAAAGACATTCCTGCTCCAAAGGCTTACAATCTAAGTATAAGAGAAGAGACAACAGATGGATATTGTCAAGTTTTTCATAGGCATCACAGCAAAGGAGATTTGAAGGTGAATAATGAGGTAGTTTCACAGAAGTGTGCGTGGCAACATAGGAGAAACAACAAAGGCATTTGTTTGAAAATTTAACAAGTAGGTAGCGGAGGCTTGCGACACAGGACAGAGGCAGGCATCCACAACTTGATATTGAATGAGAGAGGACAGGTAGGGTAGAGATTGACTGTGAAGGGCCTTGAAAGTGAATACAAGCAGCTTACATTTGTCATAAGAGAGAATGGGAAGCCAGTGGAGGAATACAAAAAGAGGGTGACATGGTCAGAGATAGACTTGAAAAATTAATTTATGGCAGCATCCTGAATGGCAACAAGCAGAGCAAGATTGCATTTATCAGGGCCAGAGAAAAGGATATTGCAGTAGTCAACATGCAAGATGATGAGAACTTGGAAGAGAGTTTTAGTTGTGTGGATTGATAGAAAGGTTGTATTTTAGAGATGTAATGTAGAAAGAATATAGTCGGGATGTGAAGACCCAAAGAAGTCAGAATTGAAGCTGACACCCAGGTTACAGGCCTAAGCAACAGGCAGACAGACTATTATCCACAGTGATCAAGAAAAGAGGTAACAGGAAGAGTTTGGGAGAAAAGATTAAGAACTCTGTTTTAACCATGTTTAGCTTGTGTTGGCAGCTGGACATCAGAAAGACAGGACAAGATTTTAGTTTGGACAGAAGGTGACAAGTCTGGAGTAGGGAGGTAGATCTGTTAGTCATCAGTATAAAGACAGTAGTTTAACTTGTGTTTGTGGATGAGATTACCCAGAGATAAAATGGTGTAGAATTAAATTCCACTGTAAAATAGTCTCAATTTGCTGGGTAACGCTAGATAAACTGTCCTTACAAAAAAGGAAATTTAAGACTTAAGTATGCATTCCTCTTTTTACACGTACAATAATCCTATAGTGCAAGGTTTGAAAAATCCACTCCTCCATCACAAGGTGGCAGCTTCCCTGGGCAAGTATGGTGATCTAGTGTCAGTTTCTACAGAATGTAAGTTATTTAAAATGAAAAAGTTTCTAGCTCATATGGTTGCAGACTCCAATCTTGCCTCTCTGACTGCTGCTTTAGAACTTTTCTTAACAGAGTGAAATTAAAAAGCCTGTTCAGATTATTGCCATTATGCAGAACTCTGTATGCAGCACTGAAACAGTCAAGAATCATGGCAGTTTTGTACTGTTACTGCGTGGGAAAGAGATGAGCAGAGGCAGGCAGTGGAGTTATTCAGGAGGACCCAAAATACAAAGAAAAGTAGCGGAGTGTCTCCAGCCCCCTTGCAGCAGCCTGAAAACCCTTGTGGGCTATGGGGGTTGCAACAGAAGACAACCCAAGGCATAATTGCTGCTTCAACTGACCTAGCTTCACCCTTAGTACTTCAGAAACAGCAATAAAACTGTATTTAAAAATAAGCTCCCAGTAGCCTAGAACAGCGATTACTTTACAGCAAAAATAATCCGTACAAAACACACACTTTCTTTTGGTGCTCAGCAGTTGCCCCATTCCTTAAAAACGATGGAAAAGAAAAGTATACTAAAATTGAGAACATAAAGGTACCCCATTTAGGTAATTTTCATTTTATTTACTATTCTTCATTTTATTACTATGCCTTCACAGTTTGAGAACACTTCACAATCACACCTCACTACAGCCAACAATGCTAGTGTTTCTTTTGCCCATCATTGATCTAGTACAGGTTAACTGTGGTATTAACAGGGGAAGCACTAATGTAGGCCAGAAATAGATTTACCATGTTGGCTAACCACAATGATAAGAACTTCTATGACTAGTCCATATTAATGCTTCCACTTATGCAGCTACATTGCTGCTATACCAACAGTGGGAAAAGTGCTGTAAGATACCACACACAGAATAAAGACAAGTTTACTGTTAAACTTGTCAAAGCTTAACCCATAACATTCTGGAGGGAAAAAAAAAAAAAAAAAAGACTACCCATCAATTTAACAAGCTATTCAGGAAAAAATCATATGGAACAATACTTGTTTAAAATGAACTACTGAAGTCAGAAAGGACAAAAAGAAAAAATACAATACTCTGATATAGTCAAGAGCAAGAGACCAGGTACACTTGCAATTACAGTCAAAACTTGCATCTGATTCAAAGCGTAAGTAACCAATAAACAGCTCAGAATAATCTGTTCACTTAAGTGAGTAGAATTGTTAGTTCTTAAATGCAAAAATGCTCCTCTACATTAAGTATTTTTAAGCTAAGGGTTGAGCTGATCACTAAGTATGCAACAAGCAGTTTTTTACATTGTTTTTTAAAATTAATAAAGGATGAATAGCATCTTCAAAACACGAGAACCCTGGAATAAGATATTCCACTAAAAAAAAAATTGTACCAATGAGTTTACAAGGAGGGAAAAATAATACTATCACCTACTTCCAAGACCATGCAACTGGCTAGTCACGATGCTATCCGAGTCCTATACTACAAGAACACATAAGTTGAGAAATGCTGCCGCTGAAAAAAAATTGGTTCCCACCCCATCCCATCGTCTCTTTAAAGAGAAAAGAACTTTAAGATCCTACCATCATGTCACTGAATTTCTACAGCTGTAAATTTTTAACACAAAGGCTGAATTAGGGTAACAATTTAGATAGTTTTGCTTATAGCATATTTCCTCTTCCTAATCAATCCCATTTGTAGTATTACAACTACTGCTAGGAAGCCTGTCAGTTTGCGTTAACTTAGGGCCCAATTCTGCATTCTTTATGCAGGCAGAATTCCAATTGATTTCTATAGTTTTGCCTGCATCCTGAGTTTGTTCACTGAACTAAATCATCCCTATATGCTCAAGGCCAATAAAGAGATGGCAAATGAGTGGGTTTGCCTGTGATCAAGTTAGATGGCACCAAGGCCTCAAACCGGTAAAGAAACCAAATTAAATCACTAAAGCACATGACTGAGAATAGAGGCTTAACTTCTAGGAAAGCAATGCAGTATCCAAGTGGAGAAGAATTAAGATAAACAAAAGGACTGTGAAGGAATATCTGCAATAAGCCACAACCCTCCATTGATTGACAATGTGAGATACCAGGCAGTCCTGCTCAACTGCTCCTGCAAATGGGTAAGACCACCTGTTAATTACTAAGCAGCTGTCTTTTCTGCCAAAGCATGATCATTACTACTGAACATTTTTTAGCATTTAGTTTTAAAAATACCAAGTGATGCTGTTTCCACCAGGTCCCAGGCAAAACTATTCCACTGCTTAATAATTCTATCTGGAAGCTTTTCACGACAGCAAGTTTTTCTACTCAGTAGAATTTTTTTGACAAGCCTATTTGACCCTGAGCTTTGCATTTGACAACTAAGTTTGGAGCTAAATTTAAATTAAGTATCAGTCTAGCTGAAAAGGTTCTTTAAAAAACTGGGGTCACTAATAGGGAGACTTTAAACTGTCTAAATAAATCAAGTGAGCTAAATCTGGATCTTAAAATACCATTTTGTTTAGCTTTTTAGTATTTTATTTTATTTTCATATAACATCTCAATAGTAGCTGTTTGTGCAGGATTCCAAAGACCTCAAAGCAGGGTGCTGAGAGACTGTATAAATTAAGGATAAAGAACAAGTTCCTCAATCATTTTCTAATGTAGTTTAGTGACACAGGCAAGTACAGTCCTGTGATGGACACAGGACAAAACATTAGCTGGCTGCAGAGTAAGTGATTAATTTCTTTAGTTCATATTCTATAACAGCATTTCCCAAAGTGTGGGGCATGAAAGGCACATACATTAAAATGGGTAGGCCTTTAACATCAGATAGTAGAACTAAGTGGGAAATGCACATATTTTATTTTATTGAATGGAAGGGGGGCGGGGGGGCTCCTCAGCTTCTAAGAGTTTAGGAAATGCTGTCTTACATGCTAATGAACACTAAAATCAATGAGTTCACCATAGTCCAACTAAGTCTGTGCATGGGTTCTAAGCAGTTATACAAGTCTGTTGTAATTCATATCAGCACGAGGAATATGGACCCAAGCACAGAGAGTACCACCTCTGCTGGATCTGAGTCAGGCAAGTACAGTCACTCACAGAACAGGCTGGATACAACATACGACCACTTCCTCACTTAAGGCAATTGCAAGCACGAAGGTGAAGGGGTTGCAGGAGAGCTCCCAGGACGATGCGGCTATACGAGCATTCGGGCGGCGCACGAGTACTACACAGACACAGACACAGTCCCCGGGCGCGGGCTGGCCGAAGGGGGCACCTACCTGGGCGCGGGCTCGATGAGCGTGGTGGTGTCCAGGTAGTGGATCTTGTAGAACTCCAGCAGCGCCGGCAAGTGCTCGAACTCCTGGTCGCCGATCTTGAAGCGGCGGCTGGGCAGCGAGTTGATGATGTAGTGGGAGACCCGCGAGTTCTCGGACACCGACAGCACGTAGTCCCCCGGGCAGGTGGACGAGTCCCGCACCAGGAACATGCCGTGCCGCTGCCCCTGCAGCCGCGTCTGCGCCTCCGCCCGCGACAGCGGGCCCACGTACCAGCTGGAGCGGTCCGACGAGTCGAAGCGAGCGGCCGAGGACATGGCAACGGGCGGGGGAGCCCGAAGGCCCGGCCGGAGAGACCCGAAGAGAGAAACGCCTGGCCGGGGAAAGCCAAGCGACGGGAAGCCCGGGCGGGAGACCTAAGGGCACGGCCGGGCAAGGAATCCCTGTGGCCGGGCAGGCGGAGGCCCAGCGTGCAGCCGGGTGGGGCGGGAGCGGCGGTCGGGCCGCTGCTTCTCTCTCAGCGGCGGGGCGTGTGGGGCATCCTTCCCGCCTCGCTCTCCGGCCGGCAGCGGGGCCCGGGGGCGCGCAGAGCGGCGGCGGGCGCAGCCAGGCCCAGGGCGCTGGCGAGGGGCGGCTGCTGTGCCAACGCCGCAGTGAGGAAGCGAAAAACGCTCGGCTCGCGCTTTATCCTATGGGCTCCTGTCCCCAGAGCCAGAGCCAAAATGGCGGCCCGCGCCGGCTGAGGGAGGATTCCGGAGAACCCGCCCCGCGCAGGCGCTCTCCGCGCCTGGGCTCGCGCCCCCAGGGGCAGGGTGCAGCCTGCTGCTCCCCCCCCCCAGGAGGCATCTCCGGGCAGCGTGAGCCGGTTCGGAGATGCGGTGTCTGACGCGGAGCAGCCGCCCAGCCTGCCTGGCGGCGAGGAGGGGCCGGCTCCCCCGGGCTCTGCGCCTGCCGTGGCAGAAGGAGAAGCGTTCACGTCTCTGCCGCCCGCGCTCCCAGAGTCACGCCGAGCCCTCCCCCGCCCCTCAGCGGCCCGCAGCCGAGCGCGCGCCAGCCACCGCGCCGCGTCCTCGAGGGACTTTCATCCAATCACACCGCGCCCCTCCCGCCGCCCCGGCCAGTCTGCGCTTCGTGCCCGCCTGGTCTTCCAGGAGCTTCCAGGGGGACGGGCTCGCTGGGTTCAAATTAACGGCACATGTAGAAACATAGCGGGGCTGCCAGTGTACGCCCCCCCTCACCTGCTCCTAAGCTAGGCTAGTCTCCCCCCCCACTCGCTATATTGCCTCCCTTCCTCCTCAGTCCCCATCCCATTTCCCGTGTTCCCCTCCCTGGGCACATCCCTCACAGGCTTCTGTCCCCACCTCAACCCCAAGCACCATCCTGCTTCCCTGCCTACCCCCTCACAGTTTCCTCCCCCCTTCTCTATTGACTAGAGGTTTCCTCAGGAGACACTGGCTTCAGGCCTGTTAAGAACAATAGGAAGCCAGGGCTATCTTTGTTGAGGGCAGCCTCACTGCCATCTTGTCGGTGGTTAAAATAGTTTCCCTAGATTTTAGAGCCAGAAGGGGCTACTGTGATAATCTCATCTGATCTGTCTAACACATGGCAAAGAACTTCAAGCAGATCTTAAAATAGCCCATTTTCCTGCCCTTTCCTATTCCTCTTCTCAGCTGAAGCTTTTCAGAAAATAAAAACCCTTCCCCCCACCGCAATATTACCAACCTTCAAAAGCCAAGACTCAGGCCTCCCCAAACGTCAAGACTGATTTAAGTATTTTAAAACAAATTTTGGATTTGTTTATTGGCCTTCAGCTCTTTAAAGCATTCGCATTTGCAATATTTTCTTTAGAAAAAGAAATGAAGAAATTTTTTAAATGAAGGCTGAGAGGCTAACATAGTAACATGACTCCATGAACTGGGGATTTTAGAAAAACACTGAATAGTGCAAGGATCACAAAAAAGTCATATAAGCAGGCAAAACAATATCTGCTGTGTTCCTCCAAGAGGCAGGCACCCCTTGAAAACAGCTGCTCTTAGCAGCTCCCAACTCAAAGTGCCATTACTATGAGCCACAGAAACTTTCAACATCAAGGTGGTTCTAACAAAAGATAGGGCAAACCAGCCTGACTCATGACATTCTGCCTGAGGTTTGAATAGGAGCAAGAAGAGATTATTAACCAACCAGTATGTTCCCGCTTCAAGTGCAGCCTTTTCTCTCCACTTCCATAGTCCCAGCATATTGCTAGGTGCACCAGCTCCATGGGATTGGCCGCTTCACATTAACTAGACAGTTGTGATGGGCATGCTGGCCTAGCACAACCTCCTATTCTGCACAGTGACAGGAAGGCGCTGATACCAAAACAGAAGCCAGCCCTGGAGAATCCTTGACAGGATCCAAAAATGAGCCATTACAGTTACAGATAAAAATTTAAACAAGTGCTGCCAACACTCACAAATCTATGCTATTTTGCCTGGGGCTGGAGCCATGCCAGAAGGTTCAGCCCTCTAGTAAATTTCAGCTTTGCCAGAGGGCCAAACACCCCCACTCTAATTAGCTGCCTTCCCCCCTGACCCACCTCCTAGGGAAGAGCAGCTGTTGCAGAAGGCAGACAGAGCTCTTCCCCCTCCCCTTCAGAAGTCAAGAGGATTTTTTGGGTAGGGGATGGATCAGCTGACACCATTATTATTTGCATTACTCTAGCACAGAGGTTCTCAAACTTCACTGCACTAAGACCCACTTCCAACAACAAAAATTACTACACAACCTCAGGAGGATGACTAAGACCTGAGCCTGCCTGAGCCCGCTGCCCCAGGCAGGGAACCCAAGGCCAAAGTCTGAGCCACACTGCCCCAGTGTAGGAGGGCCAAAACCCAGGGGCTTCAGCCCCAGGCAGGGGGCCTGTAGTCCCGCCACCCAGGGCTGAAGCTCTTGGGCTTCGACCCCGGCCCGAAGTGGTGGGGTCAAGCTTCAGCCCCAGCAAGTATAATGCCAGCCTTGGTGACCCCATTAAAACGGGGTCACGACCCATAGTTCGAGCAGCAGTTCTCAAACATCTAGAAGCAAGGAGAAAAGAAAGTCTGGCAACTGAGGACCTTGCTTACTCCTCTCCTGTGAAAAATGGGTTGGCCCTTGTGTTCCTCCCTATAATCAACATCCTCAGAGCTGGGAAGAGGAGAGGGGAGTGAAGAACACCTGGAGCTGAAACAAAGGTGGGACTGGACGAACAGGCAGACATGGGGACCACAATTAGAATTTTGGGGAGACGCTGGAAACTCTATACCATCAGATAGATAGAGCTCCTGCAGCAGGAGCCAAAATTACCCTACTCAAATTTAGGAGAGTTGGAAACACTAATCAACACACACACACACACACACACACGAGAGGGAGTTAAAAAAACCCAAAAGAGACCAAAAACACAATGTAATTCTTTTAAATCTGAAACATTTAAAATGAACAAAGACAGACTTGGGACAATAATTTTGTCGTTCCTACATTGGACCCTTTCTGCAGGACTCACTCCAACGTTAGGATCTTCTTTCTCTCTGAACCCTGCTCCTAAGAACTGGGTTGCAACATCTGGCAATTTCACCAAGTGTTTATATCCTACATTGACAAATGGTGCAAAATTTAAAAGTCTGTGATGGGAAATGGGATTTAAGTTTTAGACCCTTAACATTGTTCACATGGTTTAATATGGAAGATTTAAATCAGGCCTTATTTTAAAAAAATATTGTCCAAGAAACGCACTTACAAGGAATGGCCAGATTGTGATATCAAGGTCACAGGTAAAATTGGAGATTTTATTGCAAATTAGACAGAATGTTTCTAGGTACCTAAGGTACAACTGTCAACTTGTAATCGTCCAGGAGGAATTCAAAGCTTACTATTCATACATATAGAATTGCCAGTTTTGTGTAACATGGGGATCATATGTGAAATCCAAAACCTTATTTCAAATATAGAATCACACAACACCTTTAATATGAAATCTTCCCAAAGTACACCACTAACTTTGTGTATTGGTAACACTTCACCAACCACAGAAATACAACCATATCTAGGATAGAAAACAACAGCTGTTTAACGGCGTACAGCAGTACTAACAGAAATGATTAGGCCTGGAAGTGAAAAATGCCATTTTGAAGCTGCCTATACATGCAAAAACATTTCCTACATTTCTAAAAAAAGTTACCTATGTGTCATGCTTCAACTCCTAATGGTTTAAGAGTTCACATTCAGAATCTTTGTTTTATTCATGTACGGATAGTTTAGGTTGGACTGAGAAGCTCATAAAATTGCCTTACACCATTTGAAGATGGGTTTAGTCCTCTCAGTGTGATACAGCTGAAATGGAGATCAGGGGGAAGGGATAGTTCAGTGGTTTGAGCATTGGCCTGCTAAACCCAGGGTTGTGAGCTCAATCCTTGAGGGGGCCATTTAGGGATCTGGGGCAAAAATTGGGGATTGGTCCCGCTTTGAGCAGCGGGTTGGACTAGATGACCTCCTGAGGTCCCTTCCAACCCTGATATTCTATGATTAAACACTATCACATGCTAAATTTAATAATTTGTGTAGCTATAAATACTACTATTATATCAATACTTTTGAGACTTTGGGATGAAAAAGAATCAATGAAAGCTGTTTTTACAAACGTTAATAAATTAAGCTTCATCACTGTAAGGTAGGCAAGTATTAGTAGCCCCATTTAAACAAATGGAGAAAACAACATAGAGAATTTAAGTGACTTGTCCAAGGCCACAACAATTTAGCGGTATAGCCTGGAACAGAAAAGACAGCAGTGAAGAGTTCCTATTAAAATTTTACTGGATGTTCTTCCCTTTGTTACAGTTTGATTTACTAGAAAGTAAATTTAGCAAGCCAATTATACAGAGACTGCTCCCGTTTTCTTTGGATACCACCAGGTTAAAAAAGGAACTGAAACAAAGCTGTCAACAGTAAACAGTAAATTTTATTATAACAGTTTTTGGTCTAGGTAGTAACATCTTTACTTCGTACAAATGCTGAATGGCTGGGACAGGAACTATGCTACAATTTTAATACTGCAAATAACTGAACTAACTTCTAACTTGCTTCTTTGGAGGAGTTCCAGAGAACACAACTTCCCATACAAAGGAGGATTTAAAAATCTAACAGATTTTAAAGCAATTACAGGTTTCAGAGTAACAGCCGTGTTAGTCTGTATTCACAAAAAGGAGTACTTGTGGCACCTCAGAGACTAACCAATTTATTTGAGCATAAGCTTTCGTGAGCTACAGCTCACTTCATCGAGGTGAGCTGTAGCTCACGAAAGCTTATGCTCAAATAAATTGGTTAGTCTCTGAGGTGCCACAAGTACTCCTTTTCTTAAAGCAATTATGTTCATCTGGTCTGACCTCCTGCATAAACACAGGCCATTGGACTTCCCTTTAAAATAACTCCTGCTTCAAGTCCAATAGCTGTGGCTAAACTAGAGCATATCTTTTTATAAAAGATCCAATCTGGATTTAAACAGAGATAGAGAGGGGATGACTTGTCCAAGATCAGCTAATAGAGCTGGGAGTTAAATCTATGCACTATTATAGCCCCACCACTGCTTGTTGTCTAGGCCTGTCAGCAGGGAGTGAGATGAAATTCACCATTTTGGCAGCAAACACTCAAAACACTTTGGTTTAAAGGAGAGTGGTTGGTTTTAGTTTTTGTTTTTTTAAAACTTTTAAAGTTTTGGTTTTCAGAGACTGAAAAGGGATATTTCAATTTTAAAAGTTGGATTTTGGGGGGGGTAACAGGGGGGAAACAGTTCTTCTGAAACAAACACAGAAGCAGCAACAACCACTTCTCTTCCAAGTATGAACTTCTAAAATAGTTCTGTAAACAAATCCACTAACTGCAAATCCAGCCAAAATGCAAACTGTAGGGCCATAGGTTGTGTTAAATAACTAGGACTTCAATGAAAGTACCATATAACATTTATGTTACCTACTTTAACATAACAGGAAATATTATTGTTGGGCTTTAGCAGCCTGATCGGCATGACAATACTTACAGTAAATGCATCCATAGGCTCCAGGCTCAGCATCTCCTTGATTTCAAAATCATCTTTTAAAAACCATCCAGTCTCTGTTTTATAGGAACGCGAACAACAGGATGATTAAATCAGCAGCAAAGAAGTTATAAAGGCAGTTCAGCTTCTGTAACAAAGATCCAAACTATTCACCATCCTTTCCTCAATCTTTCAAAGAAAAACTCTACTCTCACCAAGTCACCTCTTCGCTTTCCTGGATCCTACCATTAGCTCCCTCTTATTGCACCAAATGAGCTTGCCATCACCTTCAAGCCCAAATATAATCTTGACTCTGCCCACATCTGTGCTCTTCCTTCCTTCCTTCCTACACTCACCTTACTGCTGCCTGTGCATCTTTAGTCCATTCTGCGATTGGTGCCTTCTGTCATGCTACTTCCCACAACTGAACCAGCCTTCCCTTTCCCCCCCTCCACCAAGTACCCTCTTCTGCTTCCTTCAAATTCCTCTTGTAGGAATCCTCCCTCGCACATCTGCCTACTCTAGAATTACCCTTCGCTTCTCCCTGTGCAAGATCCTTTGCAGCCAATTGGAGGAGCCCATGCTTTTCCACATTGTGGGATTGGGCCCATACATTTCCTAGGATTTGAAAGGTACAGAGAAGAGTCTTCTGTGATGGATCATAAGTACTTGAACAACCACTTCCAATTCTGTATTTTCAACATGCTGCAGAGATAGGCATAAGCAAAGCTCTGTTCTTAGCTCATGTAGCTTGTGACATGACACTCTGCTCTAGCTGCTATTACGATTACTGTGGCAATGATGGATTTCCTGATATTTTGAGACATCCTTAAAAATACGCAGAAAATGACACTGGGATTCCAAATGGAAGTTCTATCTACGGAACTTCATTACTGCGCCAGATACAAATAGACAACCAATGAAGTAACCCAGTTATTATTCTACTAAGCCTTGTAATGTATCAATGAGACGAGCTTTTGTGTTTTTAATCACTTGATGCTGATAGAAGTATTGCATTATACTTTTATTAGTCAGAACCATTTTTATAAATTTCCCCATTTCTGGATATTTCTTGTGCTACACCACTGTGTGTAATTATGAATGCACCTCCTTATTGCTCCAAGATACAAGGCTGGCATATTCAGGAAATCAGAGGAATCAAATTTAATCACTGACAATAGGGTCAAACTAAACAACAGAATCCTTACTAGTGCATGCCTTCCCATAGGAAGAGGCAAGGGCTTTTAAAGGCAGGGTTCCTATGCAGTTCCTGGGACACTGTTCTTGATAAGAAACAGCAATAATGACGAGAATATCAATCTGTCCTCTCCTGCAGTTTTTTTGTGAAAGATGCATTATTTCCAGTAAACCAAAGCTACAAAGGACTTTCCATGTTCTCTATTAGATAGCCCTCTGACTTTGAAACTGAGATTTCATTATGAACTCATTCATTTGGAAAGATGCACTTATAACTAAAGTAAACCACTGCTGAATGACTAGCTTGGGTGAAAGTACACTAAACTTCTGTTACCTACTAACACAAAACACACACAGATAAGATGGGTCACACAGTATTACTTTGGATCAGACACAGTATGCACAGCTAAAAAAGGAATCATCATGGACACTGACAAGCATGTTGTCAATCCTCAACATTAAAGAAAAAATACCATCACAATATCTAATATGTTTACTTATGCACATGAAAGCTTAAGTTACCTGGCAACATCTAAAATCAGAACTTTTTACCAGCTGCTTCTTTAGCTCAGCTGAGGAACATTCATTTGGAACCTAGTATATTATTGTCTCACCTTGACCTCTTCTGTGAAATCCAAGAATTAGTCTGGTTTCAGAGTAACAGCCGTGTTAGTCTGTATTCGCAAAAAGAAAAGGAGTACTTGTGGCACCTTAGAGACTAACCAATTTATTTGAGCATGAGCTTTCGTGAGCTACAGCTCACTTCATCGTATGCTGTAGCTCACGAAAGCTCATGCTCAAATAAATTGGTTAGTCTCTAAAGTGCCACAAGTACTCCTTTTCTTTTTAAGAATTAGTCTGAAGACCTGCTTATTTGCAAATTGTATGCATTGCCCTCTACTGGTATATACAGGTAAATAAAACATGCCTCCACAAGCCTCACAAAGAATCATTAACCCCTTTCTATCACAAAAGAAGACAATAATATCACTTAAAAATACATATATAATTAGGATGCCACTGGTAATAATGCTTCTCCATTGAACAGAGAGTTTTTCAAAACTTATCACCTTACTTTACATTAGGTCTGAACTTTAAGAGTAGAATTCTATAAGAAGATACTGTAGCAAACCAATTAAAATACAGCACTTATTGGTGCACAGCAGGCAAAATAACAAACAAAAGATCCACATTTAACTTAGTCCCCTCATTTATTCAAAGCAGCTTTCTAGACACAGAATAGAGCCATTAATCTTCAATATTGAAGTTTGCCTATATTTTAAAGAGTATGTGTAGGTGTTAGGTTCATTATCTCCTGAAAGGGCCTTTTCTGAAGGGGCTCCTCTGTATGGTTTTCCTGGGTCTTCCTGCATAGCCCTCTTGCTTCATGTATTTAGCTGTATAGAGCACCCATTTCAGGTTGCAGACAGGGCCACTGACCAGGCTTAGGTCCAGGAGATCAAGGACTCTCAGTTTAAAATGAGTAGAGCTGAAAATTCTGCTCTGACCCAGAAAGTTGCATGGGGGCCTCCTTAATCTTTTCTAGAAATCCTGTTTACCAACGTGGAATCTTCTAGAACTATTTTACAAGTCATCCGTTTCCTTTACAAAGATTCCCTACTTTAAGTTAATGTCCACTGGCTTCCTCCAGTTCTTTATAGTGCCAGTTCTAGGTTCAATCTCCAAAGCCTCTATGTGATGGCATACTTGACTAACATCACATCATTCCAATTGTCTCTTTGATTCTGTCCCTTCCCCTCCTTCCACTTTAACTAGGGTATTATTTTAACACCTGTTTCCTAATGAACTGATAGAATTGGTTACCCTGTGCCTATTTGAAAGCAGGGATTACGAAGTTTTTGGATGTCATAAAGCACTGGTTTCTATGGCAGCTGCTAAAATTATTAATTTAGCATCAAGAAAGCTGTTAAAATCAGAAGTAAATGATTTTACAAACTGCCAATTAATAAAAGGAATGCTCTGTTATACAATATGTGTTTCTTGCTCTGGTGGTCTACCATTGCTTTCCTGGCACTAATCTAGCAAGTCCGGATCCTTGGACCAAGGTCATTTTTAATCCCTTTAGGGTATTTCTATACTGCCCACGTTACAGTGCAGCCACGGCAGCGCTGTGACGTGGGCAGTGTAATCATGCTTTATCGCCAGTGGAGAGCTCTCCCGGATAAAAAATAACCGCCCTGAATGAGGGGTGGTAGCTTTATCGCTGGGAGCTGCGTCAAGCGCTGTCTATAGTGGCGCTTTTCAGTGTTAAAACTTTTGTTGCTCGGGGGGGGGGGGGGGGCTGTTTTTTCACACCCCTGAACGACTAAAGCTTTAGCACCGAAAGTGGCAGTGTAGACACAACCGAAGTTACCCTTGATTGAGGTTTTTTTCCTTCTTCCCCTTATGCCATTGCAAAACAGTCTCATCTCTTTTTCACTTTCTAAGCATATAAGTGAAGATAAAACAACAACATAACTGGGCCAAATTAGTTACTGGTGTAACTTCACTGACCATAATGAAGCAATGAATTTGGCCCCCCAAGTTTTAGATTACCACATTCTGGTGGTGGAAAAAAAACAATAACCAAAAAAAAATAATAAAAAGTTCCCACAAGGATTTATTATTTCATTTGTGAACAAATGGTATCTGTAAAAGTTCATCTGATTAAAGAGATTACCATAACCAGTACAAAGATCATTTTTCTAGAAGTCTTCCACCTTGTTGACAAAGCCTGCAGTATAGTAATTCAGAAGTGGGAGTCAGATCACAGTTTCTAAGCCTTTTATGAGGATGGCTGCATGCCCAGATGGGAGGAGGGTTTGAACCAACGTTCTTGCTGCAGTCACTGCTACAGCACTCACTCTCACTGTGTGACCTATACAGCGGACTACAACTGCCACAGGCAGACACTTGGTTGTATCTTCCTGGCCATTAGATTTGATGCTGACAGGGTCATTACAGAGGAACAAGGAAGTGATTTCATGCTGGAAGTTTGAAGCAAAGGAGCTAGCCAAGCTAGGTCTTTTGTGCTTCTTCTGTCCATGCTGTGGGTTGAAAAGAGGCCCCTTCAAAGGACAAAAACCTCTGCCTTTTTATTGAGAAAAAAAAAAAAGAAAGTTCTTTGGTTGCTTTCACACTGCTGCTTTGTGACAAATAGAGAGAATGCAGAAGACCTTTTGTACAGAACGTTTAAGTTTCCAAATGTTTAAATATTGATTCAACGTATGTTATACCAAAGACATTAAAAAGTTTCTAAATAATTTCCCAAGCCTTAATTTTCTTCCCTCCCTGAAAAAAAAAAAATCCTCGGGTCCTTAATCTTCACTTGAATTGTCAAATTCCTCCCAGTCTGACACACTCATAACCTCAGAGGCAAAGTCTGGGTGATGCTGTAGTCGCTCTGGGTTCCATTCTGGAGTCCACCTCTCTGTGTCCATTAGAATAGCCCTAGGCAGAGTGAGGACACAGGCAGCCAGCCCAGAAATATCATCCTCCAGCTGGGGACCTTCCTCCCAGCAGTCTCTCTCAGCTTCATAAATATGGACATAGTCCATCCGGATCCCTCGATTGTGGGATCTGCCCCCCAAGACATAGATTCTATTGGCTAAGACAGCAATACCTGGCTCTCCATGCCCTGCAGGTAGAGGGCATACATTTGTCCACTGATCAGTACTTGTGCTATAGCAGGCAACCTGAAAGAATATAAAGATGCAAGGTAACTTATTCCTGTAAAAAACATTTAAAATGTCTACATGTAATGGGTGTCTGCCATAGTGTACAATATTCCTATTACATAATGGGTATTATTTGTAAATCTCAAAGATAAATCCCAACATTGCTAACTTTTTCACTGCTGATTCATTTTAGTAGAAATATCTAACAAATGTGTTTCTCACAAATTCTATGCCACTACAAATGCTAAAACCCAATTGCTCCCAATCGAGTGCCAACACCTTCCTCAAGACACTGTCTAGTTATGCATTGCAAATACCAAAGCACTTGACATATCAAAAAAATGAAAGTGTGGGGATAGTGTAAAATAAATTGAATTAAAATCAAAACTATTGGATAATAATTGACTTAATTTCATATTATTCATTTAAAAATACAACAACTTTTTTAGTTTTAATGAAGCTGCTGCAGAGTTTCTAGTCTGCCACACCAGAGTGCTACAGAATTTAGATTTGCCTTGCTGGAAAATACCCAGAGCACTTAGTTGCTATCACCAAGGCACCGCCCAGTTGGATGTTCACCACCCACCACTGATTTTTTCTAAATTACAAGAAGCCAAAAGGATTAAGAGTTTTAATGTTGGTGAAGTCAGAGAGAATGCATGCAGGGGTGGGAGGAGTAAGTAAAGCACTGCAATGTTTGTCAGTTAGATGGAGGAGAGGCAGTCCAATAGTTAGTGTGTGGCTGGTAGTTGTGTTTTTATCTCAGTGGGAGGAAGGTATGACGACACAATGTGAGTGTCATATGTCCGGGCAGGAAAGAAATAGCCATGACATCTTCTCACCTGGTGAACATCTCTCCTATAGCCAGAGTCATTGTTGCTACCTCCCATCACGTACAGCTTTCCCAGAAGTGCAGCCATCCCATGCCAGGCACGTCTGACTGGACCATCAGCTAAGCTGTCCCAGCGGTCAGCCCCTGGATCATAACAGTGTAGTTCCTTCAAATAATCATCTCCTCTCCTCCCACATGAAATATACATCTTTCCATCCAGTGCTGCTCCAGCATGTGCATACACCTACATCATCACAAAAGAAAAGGCACAGAGGGGAATGACAGTTTTCATTTTTTGTGTTTCCTCCAGTATCAAGCACAGTAAGTAAGTATGGAATATATATCTCCTGGCAATACATGACATCAGAGATGGTATCTTCCTCTGATTACTTAGATGGCAACATTTGGAAGAATTCTGTGTATGCTGTTATTCCGTAGGTGTGAGGATCAGTCCTTGAACTGAAATTAAGTAGAATTTCTCTGACTCCTCCACAACTGCAGTGCCTTCATGTTTCTTAGTGCTCCTGAATTAGCACCTCTTCAATACCAGTGCTTTCCTCCCTTGCCTTTTTTGAAGCCCTGTGTAGAAATTAAGTCTTACAGAAGTTTTAGCAAGGTTATCAGAAAGGCAGAATAGCCTAGTGGATAGAACTTGAGCAAGTCGTAAGACCTGGGTTCTATCCCCAGCACTGATTTGTTATTACTGACCTCAGGCAAGTCATTTCACCTGTCCGTGCCTCCATTCCCCACCTGTAAAATGGGAATAATACTTTCGTGTTTGTAAAGCGACTTGAGGTTTTCAGATAAGAAGCATTGTGAAGTGGTTTTATTTTGTATTGTTAACCTGCTACAAAACTTGTTATAGTAGGATTCAGCATACTTTCTTGAAAAGGTGAATTAGAATTTTACTTCTCTTTCCTAGCCAAAATTGTCATCAAGAACTTTTGCATGCAGTTTTTAATTACGTCCTCCTTGTTTTGTGACAGTCTCTTAGAGACCTAAAAACAACACTTCTTGGCTGGTTAAGTAGAAAACTTAGAAGGATAAATACTATGTAAGTGGCTGTTCAGTGACTTATCTCAAAAGAGCGCAGTGCTCTCAATTTAGTTCACCAAGAGCTGATGGTCACATCACATAAACCTCCACCACCAGCACCCTTGTTTGATGTTCATATCACATAAACCTCCACCACTGGCACTTTTGCGTGCAGTCTCACAACAGTGGCCAAGGACTGAATGGGCCATAGAGACTGACTTACCCTATCACCCTAGAGGTGGTCCCTTCAGATCAGGGCTGAGACGGGGGAAGCTTGCACTACTGCTGCCCATGCTGTATCCATTCTGGGAATAAACAGAGGCCTTCATTCTCCAAGGCTATGAAGCAGGCACCTTTCACCAGCATGAAATTAAATTTTAATTTTTTTAAAAAACAATAATAAAGTTAACATTTACGGGGGGAAAACTAGTAAGAAAAGAGGAAGACAAGTATCTAATTTCAATGGGAGGTCATACGAACATTGTCCCTGGTACTCATACACTTAGGGATTTTTTCCCTCTCTGCCCATATCAGTTTTGGGCTTGATCCTGAGACATATTGAGCACCTGCAACTCTGACTAAAACTGATGGGACTTGTAGGTGCTCAGTACCTCTCCGGATCAGACCCTACATTATTTAGGAACTACTTTTCTTTGGAAAGTATAATACAAACTTCCAACTTCTATGGAGCTGCCATTTGAGAACATACCTCTCAACCGTTCTCACAAAGAGGTATACTGGCTTAATATTACATCCAAACTAACCTCTGTCATGCACATAGGATGTTTACCTTGATGGTGTGCAAATGCAAAATTAATTTCTCAATATGACTTAATTTTTAAGGCCTAACATTTTGATTCAGTTAGAGAGAACATACACAAAGAAGCAGATCCAGTGATATTTTAAGCATCCGTCTTACTATATTTTGTCCCATACACAGAGGTCACTGACAGCCACAAGAATTTTTGCAGATTGAGAGGTATGCTTGAGAAAAGTAGCAAAAAAGCATTTAGGAAAGATGACGGCAAATATTAAGGGAGCTTATTAGCGTTTGCTGGCATGTGCATTCCTTACCTCCTTCCTCAGCGGTGCCATGTATTCCCACGTGTTGGTTTTTGGATCATACCTCTCTACTTCCCTTAGGTCTTCATGATAATCTCGCCCTGCGACAGCATATATATATTTGTCCACAACACAGACACAGAGGTCAGCATGCTCTTGCTGCAGGGACTGGATCTGGAACCATTTGTTGTGTCGTGGGTCATACCTTGCAAGGGAATATGATCAAACTGGGTTACCAACACAAATCTACCACAGGGTACTGAGACGTGGACACTATCATTGCTGGAACATGGGTCAGCACCACATACATAGATTGAGACCAATGCATTCTCTTTGGCCCAAATTCAGCTTCGCTGTAAGGAGGTGCAATTCACTAGAGTGAAATTTGGCCATTCATATCAAAATATATTTATCAGCTAAGTTTTTATTGTATTTTGAAGGAGAATGCATAAGCAAATATTATCATGTTGTACACGTCTACTGTTTCCAGTATCCTTTGCACCACTGCCAGTCTACATACCATCAACCTTGTTAGTTTGCAATCATTCCACAATGTAAAAATTGGCTAAAAATAGCACAAAGTTTGTACCTGGGAATTCGAGAGGCCAAGAAGGACATGAAAATTTGGAGCTTCTTTGATTTGTTCAGATATCTGCTGGTAAGAGGGTACTGTGACACTCTGCAACCTATATTCTTCATAGTGGTATGAATATAATGTAATTATGACAACATTATGATGCACTTTGTACAGAATGTGTCATGTGAGGTCTCATTGGAAAAGTTATGATTTGCTGAATAGGATTATCCTATTTGTATGCATGTATCATTTTTGTATCTGGAGTTATGAATATTGACTATGTATCTGTACTTCAAGTGTGGTTACACCTGGTTGACACCCACTAGGCAAGATGCTTCCAGTCTAGACGGTATCAGAGGGGCCGTGTTAATCTGGATCTGTAAAAGCGGCAAAGAGTCCTGTGGCACCTTATAGACTAACAGATGTTTTGGAGCATAAACTTTTGTGGGTGAATATCCATTTCGTCAGAAGAAGAACTGGGTATTCACCCACAAAAGCTTATGCTCCAATATGTCTGTTAGTCTATAAGGTGCCACAGGACTCTTTGGCAGTCTAGACAGCTGATTGTGAAGGGCCTATTCAAGGTAATGGGCCATTAAGGAAAACAATAGGCTTTGGGAGAAGCTTATCCCCCACCTGGTGAGCCTTCCTGAGAATGCTGCAGACAGCCTACAGATAAGGGCTGCTATGACTCAGCAAGGCATGCAAGGGCATATGACCAGACCATGAGATAATGAACTCCGTTTTGGTACCTGTATTTTTCCACAAACTGGGCTGCGAACTTAGCTTGGAACAAAGAATTCCTACCATATGGAAAGGCTATAAAAAGATGGGGAGGGACATCACTTCTGGGCCTCACTCTCCACACAAGAGCACACCTGACGAACAAAGACTGAACTGTGAGAGGTACTGGTCCCAGGTTAAAGGGATTCTAGCCTGTGTTTGGCAACTTGGTGGACTACTTGTATCATCAGTGAGGGTGAGATATTGCTGATTCAAATCCTATCTAGTATATTAGGCTTAGTTTGTGTTTTTGTTTAATTTTCCTAGGTAACCAGCTTTAATCAGTTTGTTATCACTTAAAATCTCTCTTTCTGTAGTTAATAAACGTGTTTTAAGTTTTATCATAACCACTGGGTTTCTGAGTGAAGTGTTTGGGAAAAATCTCAGCTTGGTTATAACACAGGCTTGTTGCATATCTTCCTCACAGCAAGAGTGGAGTGAACGCTATTAATGAGCTTGCACTATACAGATCCCTGTGCAGTGCAAGACAGTATAATTCTGGGTTTATACTCCAGTAGGGGTGCAAGGCTGGGGAGCTGGGAAATTGGCTGGTGCTTATATATATTAAATTCTTGAGTAGCTTAGGTAAAGCACTCAGGTAACTCAGTTGGGTGTGTGGCACCACCTGCTGTTGTGTTGGGTGATAACAGTCCCCGGAGAGGCTGGCTGCGTATCACCAGAGCAATGTGAGAAAGGCCAACCTAGCTGAATTGTTAGGGGGCACAGTGGTTCCAGACTGCACCCCAAAGGGTGACAACCCCTTCACCAAGGGAAGGTCATGCCTGACTAATCTAATCGCCTTCTATGATGAGATTACTGGTTCTGTGGATGAAGAAAGCAGTGGAAAGCACTGAAAGCAGTGGATGTATTGTATCTTGACTTTAGCAAAGCTTTTGACACGGTCTCCCACAGTATTCTTGTCAGCAAGTTAAGGAAGTATGGGCTGGATGAATGCACTATAAGGTGGGTAGAAAGTTGGCTAGATTGTCGGGCTCAACGGGTAGTGATCAATGGTTCCATGTCTAGTTGGCAGCCGGTGTCAAGTGGAGTGCCCCAGGGGTCGGTCCTGGGGCCGGTTTTGTTCAATATCTTCATAAATGATCTGGAGGATGGTGTGGATTGCACTCTCAGCAAATTTGTGGATGATACTAAACTGGGAGGAGTGGTAGATACGCTGGAGGGCAGGGATAGGATACAGAGGGACCTAGACAAATTGGAGGATTGGGCCAAAAGAAATCTGATGAGGTTCAATAAGGATAAGTGCAGAGTCCTTCTCTGCACTTAGGACGGAAGAACCCAATGCACAGCTACAGACTAGGGACCGAATGGCTAGGCAGAAGTTCGGCGGAAAAGGACCTAGGGGTGACAGTGGACAAGAAGCTGGATATGAGCCAGCAGTGTGCCCTTGTTGCCAAGAAGGCCAATGGCATTTTGGGATGTATAAGTAGGGGCATAGCGAGCAGATCGAGGGACGTGATCGTCCCCCTCTATTCGACATTGGTGAGGCCTCATCTGGAGTACTGTGTCCAGTTTTGGGCCCCACACTACAAGAAGGATGTGGATAAATTGGAGAGAGTCCAGCGAAGGGCAACAAAAATGATTAGGGGTCTGGAACACATGACTTATGAGGAGAGGCTGAGGGAACTGGGATTGTTTAGTCTGCAGAAGAGAAGAATGAGGGGGGATTTGATAGCTGCTTTCAACTACCTGAGAGGTAGTTCCAGAGAGGATGGTTCTAGACTATTCTCAGTGGTGGAAGAGGACAGGACAAGGAGTAATGGTCTCAAGTTGCAGTGGGGGAGGTTTAGGTTGGATATTAGGAAAAACTTTTTCACTAGGAGGGTGGTGAAACACTGGAATGCGTTGCCTAGGGAGGTGGTGGAATCTCCTTCCTTAGAAGTTTTTAAGGTCAGGCTTGACAAAGCCCTGGCTGGGATGATTTAATTGGGTATGGGTCCTGCTTTTGAGCAGGGGGTTGGACTAGATGACCTCCTAAGGTCCCTTCCAACCCTGATATTCTATGATTCTATGAACCCATCACAGGTACTTCAACCTTTTCAACTTTAGCTTTCACCCCCTAAATATCAATTCCAGATAAAATACTGAAATCTTAATTACAGGAGCAGCCTGCATGCAATGGCAGGAACTTAAATTCATCTTGCACGTGACAAACACAAGAACTGGACTAAAACCTATAAAAATCACTAGTTTGCAGACAAAAGGATGTTGTCAGACACAGGACTTGTAATACACCTGTTTAGCCACATAGTGGGCATTAAAATCTAGAAAGAACGCCTGATCTCAATGGAACTTAAAAAAAAACAACCCAAAACTGTTACCAGGCTCAACTGTGATTTTCTAACTTAAATTTTAAGACTTTTTTTTACGTTATTTAGTTGTGCTTCAATCTTGGGAAGTAGCAGGATGCTCTTTAATGGCATTATACACACCAATTCAAAATAATCAACTGATGTTACAATTGTGTTTAAAGTGTTTCACAGCTGTGCTCCTTAAATCACTTGCCTTTTATATCAGATTCACATATACTACAACTTTGAATTTTTGATCATCCTAATTCATTGCTGCAGACAATCATTCTGACATTTCCCCTCTGTCTAAGAAGGGATGAAGAGTTCTCTCTTCAGAAACAGTTAACAAGCTTCCATTCCTGCCCTATTCAGGCAAACACACAAAACTTCACGCTTACATACAGTAGCACGGCTGACTTTGAAGCACTCTACAAACATTAACCTAATAAAGCCTCACAACAACGCTACAGGGTGGTAAATATTATCCCCATTTTACAGATGAGAGAAATTAAGAAAATCAATCGAGGTAACAGAGGAAGTTTGTGTCAGAGCCAAGATCAGGACACAGGAGTTCCTGGCTCCCAGTCCCATGCTCAGAACTCAAGAATAATTTTACCACAACTCAACAGAGCTGTTGTGTAATGTTGCTACATTTGCTTTCCCCCTTGTGGTTGATTAGCAAATGAAGCATGCACATACAGAAAGCTTCCTCCTTTACAATCAGGTTGGTCTTCCTTAGTCCTTGCAGTTTCTTTCAATGAGATCTCAATACAATTCCCAACTTTTCTGGCCAGCTATCATGTGCACTGTGAAAGTGACTGCCCGACTCAGGGAATGGTAATTGGCTGGTAAAAAATAATGATGGCAGAAGTAGTCTCCTCTTACCTCCAACACCTGGACTCTGCTCGAAAACCTCGTACGTTGTTATCTCCCCCAATCAAGTATACAAAGTTGTTGAAAACAGCAATTCCTTGGTTGGACATTCTGGGGGCTAATGCAGCAGTAAAGTGCCTCCACTCTCCCAATATGGGGTTCAAGAACTTGGCTTGGTCACTGAGGGCTGTGGATGGAGTGGAGTGCATCCCTCCAAAGCCCACTACACAGTGGAACTCTGACCTCACCTGTGTCTGTGAGGTTTGAAGCATGGGCTGAAGACATTCATTCTTGTGGTACATTAGTGCATCGGCTACAGTCTCTCTTAATGGACATGGGCTTAATTTGTCATGGAGCCTTTGCAGGATCTGGAGCTCCATCAGGGGGAAGCGGACTGTTTCCAGTAGCTTAGGAGGCTCCATCAGTGAGACCTGATCTGTCTCTACCTGTTCTAGGGTGTAATGATACAGAAGCACCCCTTCATAAACCTCATTCTCACAGTTGACCTCCAAGAGGTTGCTGCTCAGTAGGGAGTAGACCTTCTCCAGGGGTAGCTGGCGGTATATCTCTGTCTTTGAGAAAGCTACAAAGTTCTTGAGAATGTAGGAGTCCAGCTGCTCGCTCAACTGATTCAAGTCAAAGAGGTCAGCTAATTTGTATACATCCAAGATGTTCTCCTCATCCACCCAGGACATGAGAAAATCACAACAGAACTTAATGACTTCTGGAATCTACAAGAGACAAAGCAGATTGTTTATTTCAGTAAAAAAAATTCTTCTCTTACACTGGAGAGACCAGAGTTATAGGAGTACGGAAGACCCAAGCTGAGGAAGTTGTAATAAATTGCAGGGAACACCTGTCACCAAGAAGGCTGACAGTGGTCTCTGGCTGTTATCAGTACTGCGTGGAAATAAAAACTGATAGATTAATGGAGTACTGTTGACCATAGCTTTCACCAAAGATGACGTGAATATGATCCAATGTGAGTTTGTAGATGAACAGAATATAGTTCTTCTGTTTCCAGACAGATTAACCAGTGTGCGAAAGGCAGACGCACAAAAAGGCACAACAGGATAGTAAATTGGGCTGTATCATTCAAATGTAGAGGAAACCTTTTGCAAGGAAAGCTAATGTATTTTATGTAGTTTACTGAGTACAATATGACATTGCTTCTGGACACCAGGAGATAGCAGGAAAGTTCTTTGCTATACATGACAAACTTCTGTTGACTCCACAAAGGTTAATAGAGTAAATATCTAGTGAGTATGTAATCTAATATCACAGCATGTACAGTGTAGGAAATAAGAGAAGCAAAAACTGTCTTCATGGCAAAACAAGAGCCACTGTAGTTGTATCAACTGGGATCGTAGTTCCACCCATAGTGGGTCTGTGAATCAGCCTTTATACTGTAGATGAGAGCCTGAGAGGCTGCAGCACCAAAACAGTTTCAGAAGAAGGAAGTTAGGTCCTTTAATGTAGATCATAATGTAGGAACTCTTAACAGAATCTCCCCTCAGGAGTCACTAAGCAGGAAAGGGGTTACTGAGCACATTGGGGAAGTCAACCACTATAAAAGAATCACACTCTGGATAAAATGATGAAAAATTATAAATAAAAACATAAAACTACTTATATAAACAACATATCCATCCATCCAAACCCAGTTTATATACATATCTAGCTACTTACAAAGCCCTGGTCTACACTACAAACTTATGTTGGTATAACTACGTCACTCAGGAGTATGGAAAATCCACATGCCTGAGCAACATGCCTAACCCCCAGTGTAGACGGTGCTATGTCAACAGGAGGGCAGGTGGAGTAGCCCTTTCAGTAAGTGCTGCAGCTGCACCACTGCAAGTGTAGACAAGCCCTTACTCCACAGTTTAGAGCATTCAGAAAAAAGTTCTAGTCAAATCCATATATGTAGACAGAAAAGCCCCTGCCCCTTTACTCCTCCTCTATTGTGTTTGTTCACCTCTTCAACCTCTCCCATTTATTCCCCAGAGTGTCCCCATTCCTTATTTGTCCCATTCCTCCCTGTGTCTTCTTGCTCCATCTCCCAATCCCTCACCTGAAGTTGGCAGGCGGCAGTTAGCGTTTCTTGCACATTGTTCAGGCTGAGTTCCAGTTCAGAGGTGTATATGAAGTTCAGGATTTTACACATAGCATTGTAGGAGACTCCATGAATACGAATCTCTTCCTGTTCCATCTCTCTTAGACCACCAGCAAACATTCCTCTGCAGAAAGAAAAAAGGTACACGCTACACTGGAGACGTACCAAAGCTATGTACAGTTCAACCCAGCTTAGCCATATTGTTCTGGGGACATCCAAAACACTCGGTCAGATGGGTAACTGGACAGATAGCTTTGCAAAGCCTCCATGCCTGTTCCCAAATCCCGTACTCCAGGAAATACGCTGAGGAAGCGTTGCTCTTTCTACAAGCCATTACCCTCTGATCCCACTGAGGGTTACCAAAAGAAACTACACCATTTGCTCAAGAAACTCCCTGAAAAAGCACAAGAACAAATCCGCACAGACACACCCCTGGAACCCCGACCTGGGGTATTCTATCTGCTACCCTGGAAATCCTGGATGCCCCATCATCAGGCATTGGCACCCTGACAGCAGGGTCTGGCTATGTAGTGTTAGGATATAGATATTCAGGCCTGTCTGTAAAGGCCTATACTCTAAGAATTTAGGTGTATTCCTATCACTTGGCTAGTTATAGAGGTACAAAAGAAAGAATCAAAATCACTGTCTGCTGGTGTAAGGGCCTTCTCTTACTGTGACAGTCTGAGGCCCTGTTCTTAGGCTAAGGCCTTTGGCTAAGCAGCAGAGGCAGCCATAAGCTAGGAAGCGAACAGTCACATCCTCACATTCCAAACTAGTCACATTGAAATAAGGTCAGGTTTCAGAGGAACAGCCGTGTTAGTCTGTATTTGCAAAAAGAAAAGGAGTACTTGTGGCACCTTAGAGACTAACCAATTTATTTGAGCATGAGCTTTCGTGAGCTACAGCTCACTTCATCAGATGTATGATGTATGAAGTGAGCTGTAGCTCACGAAAGCTCATGCTCAAATAAATTGGTTAGTCTCTAAGGTGCCACAAGTACTCCTTTTCTTTTTATTGAAATAAGGTGCTATTGGGCTGTTAGGCACTATCAGGACAGAATTGTATTCCCATCACCTCCAGAGAAAGGGAAGTGCCTAGAAAATGTAAAAGGAAACTTAGTTTGATAGCATCCTGTCTGGCAAGAACTCACTTATCAATAGCTGGGATGTGAAATCCTCACTTCCGTATTGTTTTGTCATTATAGTTCCCACTTTGCTATTGTTTGTCTGTATAATCTCTGTCTGGTTCTGTGATTGTTCCTGTGTGCTGTATAATTAATTTTGCTGGGTGTAAACTATTAAGGTGGTGGGATATAATTGGTTACATAATCATGTTACAATATGTTTGGATTGGTTAGTTAAATTTCAGGAAAATGATTGGTTAAGATATAGCTAAGCTGAACTCAAGTTTTACTATATAGTCTGCAGTCAATCAGGAAGGGAGGGGATGGGTGTGTGGGTGGAGAGATGGGAACAGGGAATGGGGGTGTGGAAATTGGAATCATTTTTGCTAAAGAGGGGAAATGGGAATGGGGGTAAGGAAATTGGAATAATGTTTTGCTAAGGGCAGGAATGGGAACAGGGACACAGGTGTAAGGCTCTGTGGTGTCAGAGCTCGGAAGGAGGATACTAAGGAAGGAAACTGGAATCATGCTTGCTGGAAGTTCACCCCAATAAACATCGAATTCTTTGCACCTTTGGACTTCGGGTATTGTTGCTCTTTGTTCATGCGAGAAGGACCAGGGAAGGAAGTGGGTGAAGGAATAAGCCCCCCTAACAGATTGACAGAGCCAGAAGAGTACCCAGAAGTCACCTACTACAGGACAGGCCCAACAAAGAAAATAACAGAACGCCACTAGTCATCACCGTCAGCCCCCAACTAAAACCTCTCCAACGCATCATCAAGGATCTACAACCTATCCTAAAGGACGACCCATCACTCTCACAGATCTTGGGAGACAGGCCAGTCCTTGCTTACAGACAGCCCCCCAACCTGAAGCAAATACTCACCAGCAACCACACACCACACAACAAAAACACTAACCCAGGAACCTATCCTTGCAACAAAGCCCATTGCCAACTGTGTCCACATAACTATTCAGGGGACACCATCATAGGGCTTAATCACATCAGCCACACTATCAGAGGCTCGTTCACCTGCACATCTACCAATGTGATATATGCCATCATGTGCCAGCAATGCCCCTCTGCCATGTACATTAGTCAAACTGGACAGTCTCTACGTAAAAGAATAAATGGACACAAATCAGACGTCAAGAATTATAACATTCAAAAACCAGTCGGAGAACACTTCAGTCTCTTTGGTCACTCAATTATAGACCTAAAAGTGGCAATTCTTCAACAAAAAAACTTCAAAAACAGACTCTGACGAGAGACTGCTGAATTGGAATTAATTTGCAAACTGGATACAGTTAACTTAGGCTTGAATAGAGACTGGGAGTGGATGGGTCATTACACAAAGTAAAACTATTTTCCCATGTTTATTCCCTCCCCCACCCCCCACTGTTCCTCAGACATTCTTGTCAACTGCTGGAAATGGCCCACCTTGATTATCGCTACAAAAGGTTTTCCCCCCACCCCACCCTGCTCTCCTGCTGGTAATAGCTCACCTTAAGTGATCACTCTTGTTACAGTGTGTATGGAAACACCCATTGTTTCATGTTCTCCATGTATATAAATCTCCCCACTGTATTTTCCACTGAATGCATCCGAAGAAGTGAGCTGAAGCTCACGAAAGCTTATGCTCAAATAAATTTGTTAGTCTCTAAGGTGCCACAAGTACGACTTTTCTTTTTGTGAATACAGACTAACACTGCTGCTACTCTGAAACCTGTCAAAGGTTTTAGAGTGCATGTTATAAGCCTTTGTTTTTAAAGAAGTTTAAAATAGCCGTTGAAGTGTGCTAGCCTAATAACAGTGCTTTATTGCTACAAAGGACCCATGGATTCAGATGCCATTGTGTTCTCTTCCAAAAAGGGGTGGGGTGATAGAGAAGTGAGTGCACTCAGTTCAAAGGTGAACAAGCCCATTAAATGTCTACATTGCAGGTCTAACAGACTCTGAAACATGTTTAAGCCCAATTCCCCCTACCATCCACACAAAGCCCTCAGTCATGTGCCTATATGTTCTCAGCACATGCGTTTGATGGCTCATCCAGGGATACTGGTATAAGCCCTTGTCTCACTGTACCACACATCTCTGCCCTCCCACTTTGTGGCAAAGACACAGCTAAGGGTTCATGTGGCTAGATTCAGATTGAGACAGTCCATCAATGCTATCCCACAATTCCTGGGGCCTGTGTGTTCTGGCCTTTCTAATTCCCAAGCTCCTACTCACCTCCCATGCACCATAAGCAACCCCAGCTTCCAGAAATCAGAACATCAGAAATTTGTCAATGCAGTGACTGTGTGGACAGGGCATGGGGCATTCATACCACTGCAGTATGCACGCTCATAAGCAAGTTTGACAAGCACAGCTTTGCAGGCATGGATGGCTGGACACAGGTACACTATGCAGTGTAGACATACCCTTAGCTGCTAGGAAGGGAAAGGAGTGCTTCACATCATTCAGCTGCAACCTACCCCAAAGCAGTGTCGATGGGGTCTAAGGAAGTCCCATGCAATCCTTGTCTAGAAAGATGATGGCTGTTACATCAGGATTTGTGGGTTGAAGAAGTAGGAGGTGTTTGAAGGAAACAGAATCTTCAAGTGCACCATCAGGAATGCAAAGAAACCAATTTGCTCTAAATGTGCTCAGAGCTGAAATCTGGGAGTGTGTGTTTTGGATCAGTGTGGTATTACTCCAAATAAGACTGGTTAAAACAAAAAGGCTTGTCCCACTTTTGCGTGCCACTCACTAGAACTAATGTGGTTTTGGAACTGAAAACTTCCGGGACATTAAATCTATGATGCGAAACATGACTTTTCATTATTTTTAATTTTTAGCAACTAAGGGCTGCTGCAACTCCCCTGAAAATCAATAGAAAGACTCCCATTGACTACATCAGGAGTTGGATTGCCCCTCCCAAGTTACATAAACAACAACAGCATGTAGGACCACTACTTCCCACAACATGTTTTATAACTTGCTATGTATTATGAAATTACTGTAACAGGCCAAATCTCGTTGGTGCCAATAGAACTTTAACAGCTCTGTAAAATGACTGTGTCATACTTCTAACAAATGGGGCACTTATAAAACAGGGAACACTATGTTCCTCCAGCTACTATGGGTTCTGAGTGAAATGGAGGCACCTGGAAGCAAAACTCAATGTGGAGTAATGAGAGATTAGCTTTATTTTGAAAGTCATACAAAAGAAAAATAAAAAGAGACAAATTAAATATTTTAAATGCATTCAACGCATCTTAAGGGTCTGATTTTAAATGCACAAGGATAAGGATACTCCAAGATACGGCTCAATTTCTATTTCTTTCATTCCTCTGTGGGTAGGCCTCCAGATTGCAATGGGCAGGCATTAAAGTGTTCTGAATAAAGCATGGTATGCCATATGCAACATAGTACAACTTGGGAAAGGACGAGGAGTCCCAGGGGAAGAAAGATGGAAGTACAGACACAATTTTTTTTTTTTCCTTGTTCGAGTCATATTGAGAAAGATGCTGGTTACAGATTCACAGTGACACTGGACTCACCTGAAATAGTCACATGACGCAGCTAGAAGTATCCGATGAGCTTCAATAGGTTTCCCTTCCACTACCAGGACTACATCAAAAAGGATACCACTATCTCGGAGAGCTACCAGGCCGCTGAGTAAGGACTGGGAGTGCTCTACACTGCGGTAAGTGTTGCTGGTGCACTGCTGGAGGGAGGGCTCCAGGGGAGTCTTGCATGGCTGAGTCAGCTCCTGATCCTCTGCCATCACAAGCAGAAATTCTCAGTACCTCACCAGTTATAGCAAGAGGAATTCTGTGAGACAACAAAAATAGCAAATGTTTGTGTTTGCTGATTAACAGCGTTTTATCTGTTATCACAATCAGCAAAACACACAAACCCTTAAGTACAATGGAGAGACCTTAAAACAGGGTTCTACCCCAATGAGATTATTTTGGATTTACACCAAGAGCAGAGTTTGGTGCAAAATGTCACTTTCATTTACCAAATTCCCAGCTGCACAGTGTTCTTAGATACCTTTGCTGTAACAGAAGCTGTAAATTGAGTCTCCATCTTTAGTTTACCAGAGTACATCAAAGGGCTTGTTTTGTTGTATTTTTTCTTGTCTTTGCCTTTTTACATTAGCTAAGCACATTTCCACAAATGCCCCTTCTTGGCCCAGGGCTAGGGTCCCTACACTCACGGCTAATCAAGGAAAGGAAGGCACTAAGGCATTTGGAGACCGTACTGGCCTTTTACAACCTTGGCTATGAATGTTCAGTGCTGTGAGAGCATGCTTTTGCTGTCAAAATTAGTAACCTTCTAGAAAAACAGCACTAAAGTAGGAATATAAAGACAACTTTCAGGAAGAACTGAACTTCTAAACAATTTCCAGTCTCTAGAATCAGTGGAACATTTGAAAGGGAGAAATCTCCATGATACAATATTGTCTAAACTACATTTACGCTCACAGCTCTATATTTTACTATATAGTATTCACTGCAAAGTTATGCTGAGAAAATGTTAAAGTTGCAAATTGCATAGCTAGGCAATCAAGAGTCAGGAAATGCCAAAGTTAAAACTGACCATACAACTTCAACTGTCTTGTGCAATACAACAGACATTAATTATCCAATCACAGACTACTCTCAGATGCAAATACAGGTTCTTCCTACTCATAAACTGCAACACATATGCTCACATACCCACATTATGCTCATCATCATTTGTAGTATGCTGTAGAGATTTTTCTTAGTACAAGTTCTGTTTTCTATATCAGAGGTTCTCAAACTGTGGTCCATGGATAGTGGTTCACCAGTGGTCCACAAGCTCAATTCAGGTGGTCTGCGGATAGTTCCCTCTAAGGTGCGCGCTTGGGCGGCTGCACACGAGAGAATGAAGGGCCACCCACCTAATTAGTGAAGCTGCACAGGCATGGCTCCACTAATTAGGTGTCTGGACCCTGGAGAAGACGCACATATAAAGTGAGGTGGTAGCCTTGGGGGTAATAGGCGGCAGGTGGGAGGGGACAGTGGGGTGAGAAGGAGGGGGGGGAATTTGGGATACACAGGGCTGCGGCAGCCAGAGAAAGAGATGACTTTCCCTGCTCCAGGGCAGCTGCTGGGGAGAGACAGCCCTCCTTCCCAGCCTCAGCTCTGTGGCGGAGGAGAGAGAGGGCACATCCATCGCATTAGAAAGGTAAGACTACGGATATTAAAATATGAGCTGTGTGCTTTTATTTGTAGAACAAAAAAACGTTAATTATTATGAAGTGTTTTTTTTATATAGCGCTTTTATCCAAAGCGCTTTACAATAGTTAGCTAACGGTACAAACTAAATTTAGAAAGACCATTAAGTGGTCTGCCGAGACCCTCAGCAATTTTCAAGTGGTCCGTGGAAAAAAAAAAAAAGTTAGAGAACCACTGCTAGAGATCATAAGGAAAATCTTGGCTCCAACGAAGTTAATGGCAAAACTTCCACTGAATTTACCAGTGTTTACATTACTATGCAACTTTTCCCTTTTTGTGTGTGTGTGTCTTTCTCTCTCTGAACAGCAATATATTATTGTAATATAGTAGTTCACAAAATGTTTCTCAGAAACACACCATAATGGAGTTACCTTAAAAGTACGAATTTCTTAACAGTGGCTGTTGTACGGAGATGCTTGCCCAATATTTCTCTCTCATGTGACCTTTCCCCAAACTATAAAATTACTATATGATAGTTTGCACTGTGTTCTTGAGCGCTACCTTGTAGGCCACGCACTGGGCATTAATGCATAATAATGGAATTATAAATACAGAAAAAATGCTAAATAAGCAAAAGTCTTTCCAAAGCTTTTTCATAAGGCCTCAATGTATCTTTAAGAGTTCAACTGCTTCTGCTATTTATTCCTCCTTACAGGTCATGCTCGCCTGTTGTTTTTAACATTATAATTGTCACAGCTTCTACTTAGGATGTCACATGGATTCTGACAGACAGCGGCCGCAACTGAACTCTGGTATAAAAACAAGCACTTTTTTTTAACCATCTCTTTCATAAAAAAGATGAAAGAATGACAGAGAAAAGTTGAACTTAAAAAGGACCCTAAAGATTCTGTGAGACTGTGCAGGTTTTTAAGCAGTAGGTAATTTAATGCAATGGCTTTCAAATTCTGGTCCACTGAATGATATTTTGTTGGTGTGCAGGTAGCTATCTGGTCAAACGTTGCTTGCTCTCCCCTGTGTTTCCAACTGTTAAATCAGATTAAGACAGGTAAAATTACATAAATGCTTTCTCAATATTCCTTTTCCATTTAAGTCATTGCTGTATTTGCCACAAAGATATCATATAATTGTGAATGAGAGAAAGGTGTCCAGGAGACATTTAAGTTGTGGTCCACCCTTAAAAAATTTGAGAACCCATGATCTAATGGTTTAACTGCCATATGTGGATTCACTGGCACTACTGATACCAATTGCATCTGTTATAAAACATTACTTTCCTTCCCAAAGTAATTCCAGGCCCCAAAGATCTATTACAGGCTCTGTACTATCTTTTATGGGTTAGAAGAAAGGAGCTTTCTTGCAACAAAGTACCTACTCTTTCCAATAACAGGGCAGTTCGTTTCCTAATATCACTCCCAATGTCCAGTTCCTAATGTCAACCCACAGATTCCTAATTATGAAAAGGGTATTCCAGGTTACACAAGACTGAAAGATAGTTTCCCAGAAATCAATTTGGGTTCCAAACTAATCAGTTCATGTCCATTCTCAGGTCAGGCAAGAAAGACAGGTAAAGTCAACTTCCAGTTTTACTCCCAAACTATCCCTTCTAGTTGCTACAATTATTGCTCACGTGGAACTGAAAACACCATCCCAACAGTCATCCCAATCTCAAGATACACGGTCCAAATAAGGCAGGACAGCATAGTTAGCAACCCTATTCCATGACTGCTTTGTCAGGACTCAGTGACGAAACTATAGTGGCCCTTGGGACCACTGGCTAGGTTAGTTTTGGAGCTAGACACTCAAAATAAGAACAGCATGGGGTCAGCAGTCTGACTAAAGAATCTTCTTTCCATTTAGAACAATGGAATCCAGTCTCTGCTCTACCAATGGAGCACTACAGGTGGGACTAAGATTTGACTTTTCAATGAGATTCCCTGCTATATACCCTGGCTTTGCTTTTCATGACACCTGAAGGACAAGGTTGACCGCTCATTCACCTTTAACCTCTATGCCTTGATCCTATTTGTGGTTGTAACCGTACTTCTAAAGCTGTGGGAACAGCCCTGCAGAAGACATGTTAGTTTCCAGCGGTTAATTAAAAGGGATCTCAGAATCACGAATGTAAATAACAGAAATGGCTGTAAGTGATCGTTTATTTGATCCTTGTTCCCACAGGCAAGACTAGACCGAACCAGTCCTGCTACTGGCTCCCACCAACGCTTTTGAGCGCTACTCGTTCCCTAGAGTCCCGGCTCCAGCGAAATACGCCGCTGTGTTACACGCCGGCCGAACGGGGCTGACACGGAAGGATCGCAAGGACAGCTGCACCCCACCTATTCGTGTGTCTCTCCCTCGCCACAAACACACCAAGATGGCTCTCCGACCGCGGCAGCCCCTTATCCAGCAAAGGATGAGGAGGACAGCGAGGGACGGGACGCGCCAGAAGAAGCGGGCCTAAAATATCCGGGGTGGGGGGATTCCTTGCGCCCTGGGCAGCGCCTCCGTGTAGCCACCGGCACGGGCCAGCAGGCTGGTCAGTCGGTGACTCCGTTGCTGGACAGCGCCGCGGGCCGCACACGGGCACCAAGCCTTACTCGGCGCCGGGGGGGCAGCACCCCGTGGCGGGGGCCAGGAGCGCGGGCGCCCGCCCCCGGGGAGGGGTGTCTCCCTATCGGTGGGGGCAGGGCGGCAGCTCAGTGGGGGGGGGAGCTAGTTGTCACTGGTTCTCCCCCCCCCCACCCCCGGCGGGGGCCTTGGAGCCAGCCCCCCCCGCACCCCGCCTGGAAAATCCGGGGAGGGCAGAGGGCGCCCCACTTGCACACAGCCCTGCAGTAACCTACCGGCAGCGGCGACCCCAGCCTCACGCCTGCACCCCCCGCCCGCCTGCCTGCCTGCCTGCCTTCTTCCGGGTTCATCGTCGCACAACCATAGAGTCTGGCCAGAGCGCCCTTCCCACGTGATTGAACAGAGGGCTACGCCCACAAGCCCCCCTTAAAGGGGCCCTCACCAATTTCCTCTCTCAGGCTGGCTGCGCATAGATCTGCCTGCTTGTAGCGCTATCGGGACATCTCTCATGTCTTTCGGATTGGCGTCTGGCACATCTGCCCTGCTTAATGCAGTGACCCGGTTCCATCCAAACATACACTTCATCCTAAGAGTGCTGCCAATGCTAATAGGTCAATGGCCAGCAAGAGAGAGAAATTTGGATGATATCTCCGAAATGAAGCATGATGCAGTGTTAAGTGCACCCACATGCACCATAACCCACTTCTTCCCCCCCCCCCAAGAGCTTTTATTACCGGTAACTTATTTGTAAACGGAGGCAAAGGGTGCAGTGAGTCACAGAAATCTTTCTACTACAAAACTATCAGTCCCTTGGCTCTGACAAACAATAACTTGCCAGCTGTGTAATGTATTTTATCTTCCTGCTCTATATTTTTCAGTGTATTTCCATTGTAAACATATTAGCATGCTGTTGTCCTCCATCCACAGTTTTCATAGCTTCTCCCTGTGTCCTACAGGTGACCAGGTCCACCACATTTTCACAGATGAACGATATGCGTGGCTGCTTATTTCAGAAAATCCACCACTGTGCACTGATGTGCA